GAGTGTGTAAGCGCCTCCCCTCCCTTACTTTTCTTTTAAACTTTTAGGGGATCCACGTCCCTGCCTTGCTAGGCTTCAGATAGAGAGGTGCACTGGCCATTTAGTCCACCCAATTCTTTCTTTGGGGGAGGGCCCAGGGCTGGGGTAGCAGGAGGTGCGGGTGGGGGTAGAGCCCAGGGCTGGGGCGGCAGGAGGTGCGGCGGGAGGCAGGAGGTGCAGGTGGGGGCCAGAGCTGGGGCGGTAGGGGGTGTGGGTGCGGGGGGGGAAGAGCCCAGGGCTGGGGTAGCAGGAGGTGCGGGTGGGGGGAGAGCCCAGGGCTGGGGCAGCAGGAGGGTGCAGGTGGGGGCTCCTTTGTTTAACACAGTCCCTACCCTACCCTCCCACTCCCTTTCACAGGCCCCATGTTCATGTTCCTTCTTCCCTAGCAGAGGAGGGCTGCATGCAGCTCCTCACGTGGCCTGTCAGTGTCATTCCATGTGTCCACCACTGTCACCCCACCGTGTGGCTACGCAGCGCTGGGAGTTTTTCCGTTGCTGCCTCTTCAGCCTTCCCAGCCATTGGCAGCTCTGGAGCTCAGGTTCCCTAACCAGAGGGGGATCTCTGTACCAAGAGAGGCCAGGCGCTGTAAGCCCCCCTCCAGATGTCAAACTGGGCGCTCTTCCATCACATGAGTTATCTGCAGCGCTGCCCCTCAGCCTCAATGTGGACAGTAAAGTAGGCCAAGCTGGGGAATAGTGGCGGCAACTCTGGATGAGTCAGAAAATAACCTGTTGACCCTGGTCCAGGGTCTACGATCCAGTGGATAAGGAGGCAGGTGCAGCCATAGACTCCTGAAATTCCTTAGTGTGTCTAACTCTTTCCCACTGATGCTTCCAGTCTATAAGAACGTGACTGCTCTACTGGAGGAAGCTGACATAGGGCCTGTCTTGACTACCCTGGCCGGCCCCTCCCTGCCCAGCATTACCCACGTTGCATTGCGTCCCTTTGGATGACCCATTATAGAGGAGGTTGCAGCCACTTTGCATTGTTGTGACCTGGTCTCATGGTGGGATTAGTATTGCAGGGAAATAATTGTGTGCAAGCCCAGAGGAATTCCAGCCCTTCACATCCCCTCCAGAGTCTATTGTCTCATAAGCTCCGCCTTTGGTGCTGCTTACTTAGGCTGCACTTTTATCCTGTGAGATCTCAGCGCCGGACTCCTCTCTACAGGGATCTGGATGCCGACAATGCTGTTGGGTGGAGCTCAATGGAAGGAAATCCCAGACAAGCAACCAGCACCTACAATCCTCAGTACCAGTTTGGGTAAAACCAAATAAATCCTCAAACCCCAACATTTGCCCCCAGCCTGAAAAATGTCAAGTGCCCTCATATAAAGGAGGAAATATGTCTGTGGGGTTTTTTCCACATCCGAGCCCACTTGTGAACCTGACAACTGCCCAGTTGCTTCCTCAAAGGCCCCATGTTGCTGTGACCTTTCCTCTGTCAGAGGAAGGCTGGATGCAGCTCCTGTCTGTGTTATTCCACATGTCCAGCAGAGTGGGTCGCTAGAGAGTAACATGAGCTGTTCCTTCATTCCAGAAGGCAGGGCTGCCCAGAGGATTCAGGGGGCCTGGGGCAAAGCAATTTTGGGGGCCCTTTAATTAATTAAGCGCCATTTTAATTTTTACTCACACGGCACTCTGGGTCTTTGGCGGCATTTCGGCGGCGGGTCCTTCATTCGCTCCGGGTGTGTTCGGCGACAGTGAAGGACCCGCCGCCGAAGATCTGGAGTGCCGCCCTGTCAGTAAAAACACCGCCGGGTGAGTATATTCTCGTGGGGGCCCCTGCGGGGCCTGGGGCAAATTGCCCCACTTGCCCCCCCCCTCTGGGCAGCCCTGCCAGAAGGTGAGCATGATGCCTCTTCAACCCTTCTAGGCTCTGCTAGCTCTGGAGTTCAGGAACTTGGCAGTCCACAGCTAGAAGGCTTGAATGAAAAACAAAAATCTCAAGCCTTTTGTAACAGGTACTGGAATGCATAATTATTCGCTAGAGCCAGCAGATGATTCCAGATTTCGAAAGTTCTCCAAATTTGAGCTTAGTCTTTATTTTAGTGCATAACGTTGAGCTTCTCAATTTGGTCTTGGGAGATGAGCATGCGACTTTTGTCTTGTACTTTTCTGAACAGACTGATCTTTCCCCAGACTATGAAGTTACTGGAATTGCAAGTGCAGGTAATGCCACACTGGACATAACAGGAAATGATTGGGATTCACATCTCCATATTCAAGGGCTATTATGCTGTCATCAGAGGGCACATCACGTGCCACGTACAAGTCAAAATCATCCTTGAAATCTTGTCTTGAAAGGGAAAATACAGACTATTTTTGTAGTTGCTAAAAATTGTGACACACCTGAAACACTTTACAGTTAGCAAGAAATCTTGATCATAGAGTCCATTGGGTACATTGCAGGATATGGGTGCCTTCAGTTTACTTAGAAATTTTGATGCAAAATTATGCATTGAAGATGAAAAGACTTGCTTTTTGGAGCCCTTTGGCTTGAATTCTACTTCTTTTAAGGCATTAGCTACATCAGTAGCAACATGTGAATCGCAGCGAAGGAGCATATCAATGCGATGTGTAAGGGTGCCTTTCTTTCCATTTGCAAATGAACCCTGTGGAGTTTTACCAAAAATAGAAAGAAACGTTAACTTGCAATACAATCCGCACTGGTTTCCATTGTCCTTGACCATCGGGCATAGTTTCATTGCCTACTTTGAGGTGACTGCATGCTCTTCTTTAATGAGGAAGTCTATCACATCCCAGTGCGCATGGAAGAATTTTGCTGCATTCAGCTGGGAAAAGCAGTGTGTGGGCACAACATGAGGGGGGACATGCAAACCCAATGGACTCATGTTGCTTGTCCAGACTTTAAAAAATGCTAGCCATTGCCTGTTGGCATGTTTAAATATCACTAGAAAATGTACTACATGTTTGTGGTATGTCGTTGTGGATAGGCTTTGGGATTTCTGAGTATTTGGGTTATTTTTACACACAATGTTTTTCTTTCCTGGGGTTTCCCCCTCTGCCTCTGCTCAAAAAAATATTAAAGGGTTTATTCAAATTTAAAGCAGCGTATTTTGAAAGGTGGTGTATCTCACATATTTCTGGATCAAATGAACAATGATCTCTAGAAAGGAATAAATATGTTCAAGAAAAACTTTATATTGTCCCCAAATTGTTAATCTCTCGCTGAAAGACCAGACGTGGGAACTGGGGCCACTGGAGGTGGAGAGTAGTCAATGGAAGGAAAAAACCCATGTCCATATAAACCAGTACCATGATTTAGTTTGATGATATTCTGGAGATTGCTGTGACACTGAAAAAGGCTGTAAGGCCCAGTTGATTTCCAGGGGTATAAATCACAAGAAAGTCAGTAGGAGAGGCAACCAAGTAATCCAGGGCAGGATTGGGCCTGCAATGTTTGGTGCTGTCATGGTGGTTGTATTTGATAGCTGAAAGTCAGAGTTGGAAATGGCCTGGCCCTTTGAATAGCAAATGGGTCTGCAGAGCAACCACGTGATGCAGTTAGCAGGTTCCCACCAGAGCCTGTCAGTGTCCCTGTCCTCTCTGCAGGGATCTGGAGCTGACGGTGCAGTTGGATGGACCTCAATGGGTGGAGACCCCAATAAAGCTGCCAGAACCGCCCCATGATTTGAGTAAAAACAGATGAATCTTCAACCCTTCACCACTGTCCCCAGCCCTAAAAATATGTCAAATGCCCTCAGACAAAGGAGAAAATATGTTGTTGGGCTTCTTCCTATATTGGCTCACTTGTGAACCTGACAACTGCCCAGTTTCTCCTTCAAAAGCCCCATGTTGCTGTGACCTTCCCTCCATCTGAGGAAGGCTGGATGCAGCCAATAGCTCCTGTCTTTTATTCCCAGCTTCTCCACATGGTAATGCTGCCAATAAAGCTCTGGGAGGGCTGGCTCTGGTTTAATTCTGAGTTGCTCAGGCAGGTTTTACAAGACAGCAAGAAAAGAACTGTTTGGGGGAATCAGGGAATAAGATCGCTTGTGCAGGAAAATATGACCCCCAATTCAGCTACTCCAAAAACCATTTCTCTCTGGAAAGAAATATCTTTAGCAGTAATCTTGCCTGGCTTGACAGTATACGTCACTGTGCTAGTGTTGTGTCAGGAGTCACCAGGTGGCGCTGTGATACGTAGTCTTTCCAGTTTTTCTAAATGTGCGAGCGGCTAAGTAGTTTTGGGAAGACCTGCTGTGATCAGGGCGGGTGCAAGGATGTTTCGTGCCCTAAACGAAACTTCCACCTTTGTGCCCCCCCCCAACCCTGTGGCAGCTCTCCGCCCACCCCTCCGCCCTAAGGCACTTCCCCACGGCAGCTCCGCCCTGAGGCCCCCCCGCCCCGCAGCAGCTCCCCGGGGCCTGGGGAGCCGTGCGGCAGCTCCCCGCCCCAGCTCATGTCTGTTCCGCCTCCTCCCCGAGCACGCCATCGCCGCTCCACTTCTCCTGCCTCCCAGGCTTGCGGTTCCAATCAGCTGTTTGGCACTGCAAGCCTGGGAGGGAGAGAAGCAGAGTGGGGGGGCGTGCTCAGGGGAGATGGCGGAGCAGAGGTGAGCTGGGGCGGGGAGTTCCCCTGCATGCTGCCCTCCCCCCCCTTACTTGCTGCAGGCGGCCCTCCCTGTGCCCTCCTGCCCCAGCTCCCTCTTCCTAAATGCCTCTGCCGACCGGGGCGGCCGAAGATCCGGCCGCCACGGTCGCCACCAAAGGACGCGAAATGCTGCCTCCCAAATGCTAGTGCCCTAGGCGACCGCCTAGGTCGCCTAATGGGTTGCTCCGGCCCTGGTTGTGATGTTCGTTTTGGTTATGTGAGGTTGTGAGGCAAGGGAGCTGTATGAGAAGCAGGAGAGTTTCTCTGCCTTGGTGTCTGATTAGAGTGAATTTTTGAAGCAGATTTGCAGTCTAAGAACTGGACATTGGTGCTGGGATAGATTCCTGAGAGAAGGGTTTCCCTGCAGGCTGCTTGTGATTGCCTCTCTCCCAGGTCTGGTGTATATGTGTGAATAAAAGAAATTATGCTTGGGATACTCAGACTCCACATCACTGATTTTTCCCTCCACTGAGAAGCTGACATCAAGGCTGGGACATTTGGTACCGCTTGGCACTGGGTCAGCATTGGTGCTACAAGTGGGACACTGGTGATAGGAAAGAGCAATACTATGGACAGTTCAGCAGGGGGAGCAGAAGGACTCTGTGGTGCTGAAAGATTTTTCGAAACACTGTCTGAAAGCTAGGTAGCGATTACACTATGGATAGGAAGCAGCTGTTACCCTGAAAGGAACAGGATGGAGGTTTTTGTATTGGTCTGTATCACTGTGCGAGGTGAGCTGAGAGACTGCTGACAATAATAATCTCCAGCATCTTCAGCTTCAACCTTACTGATTGTGAGAGTGAAATCAGTGCCAGACCCGCTGCCGCTGAACCGGTCTGGGACCCCGGATTGCAGGGAGCTTCCAGCATAGATAAGGAGCTTCGGAGCTTGTCCTGATTTTTGTTGGTACCAGGCCAAGAAGTGAGTGCTGCCAATGCTGACGCTTGAACTGGCTTTGCAGCGGATAGTGACTGTGTCTCCAGGAGACACTGCCAGGGATTCTGGAGTCTGAGTCAGCACAATCTGCCCACTGGAATCTGAATTAAGAAACAGAATATAAATTACTGTGTACATGTATAGTCTCGCTTTCTCTCATATATGTGGAGTACAGTTAATCAAAATATACAATACTTTGATTTTGTACTTTCCCACGTGCCTCTTTACATACGTATGATAGCATCGTTGTCAGAGGATGAACTAACATTAAGTTTGAGGTGGCTGTTTCATTCCAAGCTGTCTTCAATTGCTTGTTCCCTCGCAGTTCCAATGAAAAGGAGAGACCCGTCTCAGAAGTTTGTCACTAACTCATGTTTATGGATTCACACAGAACATTCCTAGATCTGTAAAGTTTTTCTATGGATCACTGTAGCTTAAATCATCCCATGCCCCCTTCATTTGATTCTTACCCTGGATCCAGAGCACTAACAGCCAGATAAACTGAACCGGAGAGACCATCTTGCTACGTCTGACTGGCGTGATGCAGATCAGCAAACTGTAACCAGCGACATGGAACATTTATACTGCTCCAAAGCTGCAGGGCAGCATCACCTGGGTGTGAAATATGCAAACTTAGTTCAGAGAGAAAAATCCCAGCTGACCTAAACACGTGCAGAAAAAGGGAAATGAGAGGCCGTGGATGAAATAGGTAAGTTCAATCTGTCTGGCCCTGGGAACGCATCCTCAACTTTCATTAAAATGGCAGTTCTGTTAATAGTGGTGATGGTGCCCCGAGGTCCCGGTCTTGATCAGGACCCTATTTTGTTGGGTGCTGAACTACCCCATATTAGGTTACAGTCCCTGCACCTCACTTTGTGTTGAAATGGCCTGTGTCAGGGTGGAATGGGAATACATGTTCTCAGATCATCAGTATTGCTTGGTAGCTTATTGAAAGTTTAATAAACTGACAATCATTGTTATACTAGGAATATCCTCAGAGAGGTGATATCAATGGCGTTATGTCCCTGTATCAGTTGATCTATGCAGAGGGCTTATCCCTCCGTTAATTAGTACCCCCTACTGGGTTTCTTAGTCATCACCTTTGAGAACCCCATGTTCTATGTAACCTAACTTTCCAGGGGGAGTGGCTAGGCATACTACAATTTGGATAATGAGGACAAATATGTCCAGGGGTGAAATATGGATGTAAGAGTCTAATGTTAAATCTTCAGGAAAGAAAATCATGGTCTATTTAAGCAATCTGAATGTGGCCATCTAGAGTAAGTTGCATGGAAGTTCAGCCTATTGTTTAAAAAGGTTTAGGTATAAAAGTGGCCATTCAGTAAATGTCCATTTCCTGTGCCGAGTGTTGTGGGGTAGAGCGCTCTGCAAGGAAATACTGTATTTTGTGCACAACACACCAAATACTCCTAACTGCACCAAAAGTACCTTTCAGTGATGACATTCTAGAGTCTAAGAAATGTGTTAAAAGAATGGCTTTTTTATATTGCCCCCAAATGTTAATTTACCTGCTAGAAGAATAGATCAGGGAAGTGAATATACTTTTGATTGTCTTTTATTTGTTTGAATAACATATCCCGTGTACTGACCAAGTGAAAGGGAACCCTTCCCCCCTTCTAAAAGAACATTACAGTGATGGTCCAAAATACTGCAGTGATGCTTTATAAGCTGTAGAATTGGGACCATTACTGTAGGTTGTCTTTATACGTGTGATGAAATGAATCAAGCTGTGAATGTAAGAGAGCTACGGCCAAGTTCACTTTATCTGTACCCTACACAATGCTGCCCTCCAGTGTATTTTACGTCTATCCTAGTAGATAAGGGACACATTCCCTAAATGGTGTCTGTGATCTGTCTGTGAGGTTCTGCTAGAGGAGATGGCCTAAAATGTTGTTTAGTATGGTCCACTCTCCATGGTTAAAGTTTCAACCAATTTCTATGATAAAGCCTATTTTAGTCCCTATGTGTATTTTTTCCTTGGAAAATATGTTTGCTTTGAAAATTGCCCAGTTTCTTCTGAAGGGAAAGGGGAAAGTTTCAGCAAAGTTTGAAGGAAATCATCAAATTGCTCAAAGATCAGGTCATGAACTGTAATTGATTTGAAAAGTTGCCTTTTGATTGTAGTTTGTCTCCCTCTAGATCAAAACTAGGTTGTTCCTGCCCCTTTGAACAATCCCAGGTAGTTAAATCCCTTTGGACACTTGAGCACTGGTGGTATTTTTGGGAGAAAAAAAGGTTGACCCCAGACCAGCTCCCACTGATTCCAGTGGGAGAGCCAAGCCTGTTCCCTCTGATCTCAGTGGGAAGTAGGTCGGAAATGATACGCTGAATGTAGCAGCTCAGAGAGGTGTTTGTTGTTTATCATTATGCAAGGGTGCCATAGCCATATTCTGCTGCTGATGATTTCCATCTTCTTCAGCTGACTGTGAGGGTGAAATCATATTTCTTGTTCCTGCTGCTGAAATTGGTGGGAATCCCAGTAGCAAGAGAACAGTCATGAGAAATGAGATGCTTAGGATTTTGTCTGGATTTTTGCTGGTACTTCATTAGCCCTGCTCACGGCTTGGCAGTAATAGTGATGCTGTCTCCTGGAGACCTGACAGGAATTCTGGACACTGTATCCTCACAATCTATAATTACCAGCAAAGTCTAAATTAACACAGGTGTGATCAATGACACCAAAAAGTGCCTTTAGTGCACACTAAATTATTGTATGTGTGTGGTACCCTGGGGCCTGGCAGTGATGTTGATGTTAAACTTAAGAAGGATCTTTCCGTTTAAACCCTTCTGCCTAGTTGTTCCTGACATTACTTCACCAGTTGTTTCTCTGGAATGACGCGTAAACATTCATATGTTAGTGTAGCTCTCTGAGGAATGTTGTAAACATTTTCAGGGCTTTTAATGGACTGTTGTCCAGATCCATCTTGGATTCATTCATGTGGCCTTTATAACCAATCTGTGTTTTGTATGGTCTCCAGTGTGTGTGTTACAACTAACTCTCTGCAGTGCAGGGAAAGCTGTTTGGATATTTTACACGTACACCAAAGACAACATGAACTACTTTCCATGGAACACCCGCTGAGATGTGAGGAGTGAGAGGTGAAAAGGAAACCAAATAAAATAACTCACCCCCACCACCCAAATTCAGATGACAGGATATGAAAGAAGAAATAAGTTTAAAACTCATATATTTGAGCCCCAGAAGGTTAGTGAGCCTGTTAAAGGGAAATTCCTCTAGGGCAAGAGATCTAGAAATCAGACCCATGGAGTGGAAAACTAGAGCTGTAATAAAACCGCTCCAGCAGATGCTGCAGTGACACTCTTCACCTGTAGTGTGTGGACCCATCCTTGTAGCATACTGGAGGGTTTATTGATATTGGAACTGAAAGTCATAGAGCTGGGGACAGGCGGTAAAGCCCAGATCAGGAACATAGGTACGGGCACCACTGAAGTCAATGGGAGTGGTAACCATGTAACCCGGGGCAGGACTGGCCCTGCCGTGTCTGTCACCCATTTCTGTGGGATGCTGTAGTGTTTGTTGTTTGGTTGTTGAGGTCAGAGTTAGGGAAGGCCTGGCCCTTTCAGCAGGAAGCTTCTCTGTTGAGCAATCACATGATTAGCAGGTTCCCACAGGATTTTACGTCACAGCCCCAGTAGAAAGGGGATCTGATCCATTCCCCCTCATCTCTGAGCTGCTCCTCGGTGATTCAGCTCAGTAATGTTAGTTATGCTGTTTCTCCACAGGCCCCTCTGAGCCCTTCTTGGGGACCTGCCCACTTCCCTTCCCCTCTCTAAGCCCCCCAATTCTACCACATTCCCGCTAACAGAGGAGGGTTGAATACGCCTAGGAACCTGCTCCTGTCATGGCATGTGTCTCCGAGTGGGTTGCTAGGAAGTGAGGAGAGTTGTTCCTCCCCAGCATATGAATTCACATCCTCTCCAGGCCTCCCAGCTCAGGGCATCAATTCAGTTCCTCTACATGGTTGCTCTGCCAGACAGCACTGAGCTGGCCGTGTCTGTTCTCATTCTGAAATTCTCACACAGTCTTTATAATGCAGCAAGTGTGTGTGTGGAATAAAGTAATTGAAATCCTGAAAAAAATGCCATTGTGAATCAGGAGAAGTGAAAATTGCTTTTATATGGAAGGAAATTTCTCCAAGGGCAAACTCTCCTGCTTATTTATATTTGTACTGCAGGCTGGGAACATGTTGGCGGCTTGTAGGGCTGAAAGTTTGCTCCAGATAGCATGTAGCAGTTGATTGAGAAGGTGGCTTGGCTAAGGAAGCAGCTGTGACACTGAACAGAACAGCACAGGGAGATTTTTGTACTAGTTTGTATCACTGTGAGAGGTGAGCTCCAGCCTTGTTGACAATAATAATCTCCAGCATCTTCCGCTTCAACCTTACTGATTGTGAGAGTGAAATCGGTTCCAGACCCACTGCCACTGAACCGGTCTGGGATCTCAGAGGCGCGGGTGGAAGCCTCATAGATCAGGAGCTTCGGAGCTTGTCTGTGTTTCTGGTGGTACCAGGCTAAGTAAATAGTACCTGAAGAGCCTGTAATGCTTTCACTGGCTTTGCAGTTGATAGTGACTCTGTCTCCTAGAGACACTGCCAGGGATTCCGGACTCTGAGTCATTACAATGTCTGCACTGGAATCTGAATTTACAAAGAAAATATAAGTTAATACAAATACAGATCTAGTCAATCAAACTAAACAATATTGTACCTGTAAAATAGTCCCATGTGCATCTTTACGCAATTGCTAAACCTAGTTACCTGGCCGTGATGCTAACATTAAGCTCAGAATGGCTCTTTCAGCCTAACCCTTATTCCCATTTCTTGTTATTTCCTCAATCTTCTCCCTTTTCTTAATTTCAGTTAAAATGAGATAAAGATTTTGATAAATTAGTGTAATTCTCTGATGGTTGTTTGTTGAACATTTATATCTCAGTAATTCCTACTGGCTTCAACCAGATTGGACCCAGTGGTTCCGGCTGCTATCCAGACAAATAAGAGGTGACAGTCCCTGCCACAATGAGCTTACTATCTGAATAGTATCAGAGGGGTAGCCGTGTTAGTCTGAATCTGTAAAAAGCAACAGAGGGTCCTGTGGCACCTTTAAGACTAACAGAAGTATTGGGAGCATAAGCTTTCGTGACCAACCCTCCACACAAATGGACTTTACTAAAATAAGACAGGAGATCTACATTACACACTTCACCTCTCTACAAAGGAAAAAGGACCGTAAGCTGTCTAAAATCCTACCTGCCACATGGGGCCACAACAGGGGTACCCCTAACTCACCCAGCAATATCGTCAATTTATCCAGCTACACACACAATCCAGCAGAAGAGTCTGTCCTATCTCGGGGACTCTCTTTTTGCCCCAGCACCCCCACGAACATGATACCGTTCTGCAGTGATCTCGAAGCCTACTTTCGCTGCCTCCGACTCAAAGAATACTTTCAAGATAACACTGAACAGCGCACTGATACACAGACACCCTCCCACCAACAACACAGGAAGAAGAACTCCACATGGACTCCTCCTGAGGGTCGAAATGACAGTCTGGACCTATACATAGAATGCTTCCGCCGATGTGCACAGGCAGAAATTGTGGAAAAGCAACATCGCTTGCCTCATATCCTAAGTCGTGCATAACGCAATGTCATCCACAGCCTCAGAACCTTCCCTG